GATCTTCACCCATTACAGGCTACTAACGGAATGGGTTCAATCTGAGTGGAAGTGTTTCGCTAGCAAATACGGAGGTTATCACCTCACGAGAGTGTAGCTACTTCGCTTCCTCCTAAAGAGATAGAGCCCGGGTCTAGAGCTCATGTATGAATATGCCAAGTGTGTGCAAAATAATGTATTAATCAAAATACCATAAACACAAAATTAAAATAAAATAACAACTAACATACAATTTATCTTTTTCATTAACACATTTTTTTTAAAAAAAAATCAAAATAAAGGAGATTAAATGAAATGTCAAATAAAACCAATTAAATCCAACAATTCTTAATATCGCGTAATTAAAAGTTTTGGCTTGACTCTCAAATTAAAATCCCCAGCGGAGTCGCCAAGCTGTCGTAATGGTTTTGGGACCGTCAGATGTAAAATGAGTTTTAAAATTGAGAGAAATAAAAGGGAGGGAGTCACTACCAATCTTTGTTAGGGTGTGATTGGCCACCCAAAAGTTTATCTTCTTAATAAAACTATAAAAACGAGTTTAAAGTTTATCAAAAAGATAAATTTCGGTCTGCGAAAAAAACGGGTTGGGTTTGGGAGTCGGTTACGTATGGGGAAGGATTAGCATCCCTACAATGCCCAAAAATTGGTACCATTTAATTACGCACTATTTTCGGTGTTGGATAAAAATAGTTTCAATTTGAAATTTAACACTAATTCCCTTCATTTGAAAAAAAATAAAATTTTGCTAAAATATTTATTTAGAACTATTGAGAAAACCTTTAAGTTAAAGAATTATCTTAAAATTCTCCATCATCTAGGTAGAATTTAAAATAACTCTTTTCGCCTAAGATTTAACACAATAATCCTTAAAATGAAATAACAATCTTTATAGAAAATAATTGTTAGTGACTCTCCAACTTCTAGGCAGAGTACCAAGAATTATTTCTTTCGGAATGTTATTTTTAATTTATTTTATAATATCACAAAAAGATTTTTTTTAAAGTATTATTCCTTTTTTTTACTATAAAATATTTTATCATCGAACAGCAAATTAAAGAGAGAATAATGCAATCAATTATCGATGATAACATGCTAACGTATGTATGCTAATGAATGTCATTTACAATGAAATGCAATTTAAGAGTTGGATTCTTAAGTATAATGAGACCACCCCGACTCTCCAACATCTAGGCAGAGCTTAGGTGTGACTGTTTATATTTAAGATCCCAATTTTATTATTATACTTTTTATTCATTAATCTTATTATTAATGCGAATTAAGAAATTGTGTGACAAGACTTAACGAAGTAAAATTTCTTAAATACCCCATCATCTAGGCGGCATTCGGGAACAAATTGCTTCAAATGAAATTTTCACACGTGTCCTTAAGATTTTTAGGATGTTTTGAGTAAAGGTTTGGGTAAAGGTTTTAAAGGTTAGGTTTTAAGGTTTAGAGGGTTTTAAGGCTTGAATTTTAAGACATTGGAGGTTTAGGGTTTTGAGTTTAGAGTTTGAAGATTTTGGGGTTTCGATTTAAAATTTGAGGTTTGGGGTTTTAATTTAAGTGTTCGGATTTTAGAGATTTGTATTCAAGAGTTTAAAGGTTTGGGATTTCAGATTTTGGGGGTTTTAGATTTTAAGGGGTTTGAATTTAAGGGATTTTGAATTTTTAGGGGTTTCGTTTTTTAAAAAAATATGAACATTTCTGAAAATCTCCAATATCTAGACAGATTTTCGAAGCAAATTCGATTTTAACGATTTTTGAAAATTAATTAAAAATTTCTTATATATTTCTTTTTATGAAAATTTATTAATAATAATTCCCAATATCTAGGCGGAATTATTTTTTAAGAAAATATTTTTTATTCCCTCCAACATCTAGGCAGGAAAAATAATAATAATAATTTTTTAGCATTTTTAATATGTATTTTTAATTATTATCTTACTTACTTTCATTTTATTATTATTAAAACAATTAAAAAAAAAACTTATCCCAACAAATTTAAAACTTATCATGCATAAACATATAAAAAATACTTAAAATAACAAAATAATATTATATAAAAAAATTCAAAAATTCAAAAAAAATTTTTTTTACCTGAACCGGACCGGTCAACAGCGGTTCGGTTGGATCGAAAAAAGTTCGGTTCAGCGATGGTTCGGTTGAGTCGGCTGACGCACGGTTTAGGTCGGTCCAGGGCGCGATTCGGTCCAGTCTGATCAAACCGATTTAGATTCGCTGAGAAGGCGGGTTAACGGGTCGGTTGCGCGGATCTCGGGTCAGGTTCGGATCAACGCGCGGATCCTCCTTGGTTTAAACAACGTCGTTTTGGGGCGTTTATTGAAACGACGTTGTTTTGGCTATTGACAGTTTATATAAAAGTTAAAAAAAAATTTTTCCTTCATTCTTTTCATTCTTCAGAAAAAGAAAGCTTATTTTTTCTAGTTTTTTTTTCTCTCCGGCCAAACGCAGATGGTCAGCCAACCGTTCCTTCGTCGTTGTGCCGTCGTTCGTCGGTCATCGGTCGCCGTTGACGGTGGTCAAAAAATTCTCAGAAAATATCAAAATGTTCCCCTCGACCTCCTGAGTTCAGATCTGAGGTCCCTTTCACCAAAAAGTATCCCCACTTCCCTAGATTTGCTAGTGAAGTTTCTATCAGATTTTTTTTTTATATTCTGACTTTATTTTTTTTTTGAAACTGACTTTGATTTTTCTTTGTGCAGGGGCTCTCGGCGCTGGGTTCCTCCCTACGGAGAGGACTGTTTGATTTTTTTTTGTGGTTTTTTTTTTTGTTTTTGACAAAATCTCCCCCTCCTTCTTCTCTGTCTCCTTTGGCTTCGCTAAGAGCTCTAGCTATACATGTTTGAAGAGAAAGGCATGGGGCTCGATCACGGGATGTAAACACGAGCCCTGTTCCTCTTTTATTCATTTCTGTCTTATTTAACGTTTGTCAACGGAAGGAGTAATTAGAAGGGTGGCGGGTAGGGTCTGGTGGCAGTGATGCCGGGGATGGCACCACTGCCATCCTTAATTTTTTTTGTCTTCTGTTCTCTTTTTTTTTGTATTTTTTTTTTTTTGTATTTTGTATTATTTTTGGTATTTTTTTTTGTATTTCATATTTTGTAATATTATTGTTTTTATTTTATTTTATTTTGGGACAAAAATTGATGTCCACAACATGAAAAGTTGAAAATACGTTGTTCACAAATCACTTGAAAGGTGCAAACATTTTGTAAATTAAATTAATTAATTTAAGAAAAAAACAAAAGAATGGAATAACAAAGCAAAAATAGATATGTGAGGATATTATTTTCGTGAGAATGAGAGACGGATGGGATAGGAAGAATGCAATAATTCAAGCAAGCAAACACAATAGAATCTATCCTAATTTAGATAGTCATGACAAATCATTTTTACATTATATTTTTAACTTTTGCTTGTAGCCTAAAATGCTAATGTACATAAGTTGTTTGCTGATATGATAATTATCTGATGATTTGGATGAATAATAAAAATGTTGATTTGGCAACAAAATTGAAGTTGGAGTCAACTTAATTTTCAAGGGATAACTTTAATCTATTGTTATAGATTAGAATGCTACCTTACTTCACATGGGGATATTTTTAATTTTTATAAAAAATAATTTAAAATTTTTATTTTTTTTCAATTTTTAGATTCTTGAGATTTAAAAAAAAAATGTTTGAAAATCTTATGTTTAGAGTTTTTATAGGATTTTTGTTGTTAATTTTTTTCTTTTGAAATTTATTAAAAAAAATCTCAAATATAATGTTTTTGGTTTTTTAATTTTATCTTCAATTTTTAGGAGCCTTTTTTAAAAAAATATTTAAATTTTAGATCTGATAAATTTTTAAAAGAAATTTTGTTATTTTTCAATGAGATTCTTTTGTTGATTTTCGTGTAGGTTATTTTTTTCAGTTGATTATTGTTTTAGTTGTATTTTTTATATCTTAATATGTAATTGAAATTTAATATGTTGGTTAGTTTTAGAATTTTTGAGGTTGACTTTTTTTATTGATGAGTGAAATATATTTTTAAGGAATTTTTTTATTATATAGGTGTTTGGTTTTCTTTCTTTTTTTTTTTTTTTTTTGCAAGAAAATTGGAGGGTTTTGTAATTGCCAACGACATTTTTTCTTCCTTCTATTCACCTCCTATTTTTTTTGTTTATTTTTATATAATTATTATTTAATTATAATTAAACAAATAAAAAGAAAAAAAATTTTAAAAATTAAAAATACAATATAGCAAACAAAAAGCTCGTAACATGTCAATATACTAAGAGATTTTTTGAAAAAAATAAAAAAATAAAAAATAACATGTGGCAAGTAAAAGGCTCACAGCATGTCATCATATTATCCTTTAAAAGATAATTTTAATATATAGTTATAAATTATAATTATAATTATAATTAAACAAATAAAAAAGAAATTAATTTTTTTAAATTAAAAATACAACATGACGAGAAAAGAACTCGCAACATGTCAATATATTAAAAGGTTTTTAAAAGAAAATTTAAAAAAATGACACATGCAAAGTTAAAAAACTTACCACATAACCATACTATCTTCTGAGCTTACCACGTCACCATAATATACCTTAAAAAATAGTTTTAATATATAATTACAGATTATGTGTTACAGAAGATTAGAATGTACAAATCGACACTTAAAAGAAAAATATATAGTTTGTAGTTAAAATATATATATATATATATATACATATAATTTGCACATAAACTTTTAAATATGCATCATATTAACCTAAGTTGTAATATTATTTATCATCTTATATATCTAATGTGCAGCGTATGGTTAATATAAAATAAATAAAAAAATTATCCATTATTAATTATTGACTCTTATGTGATACTCTCATGGCATCAACATGAAATTTTTACAAAATATTTAATATTTATTTAACAAATGATATATAATAAAATTATATTAATTAAACATTAATAAACACATAATTATATTGACTAAATACCATATAAACAAGTTAGATTAACAATATTAAAGTTTGAGTTAGAATAATATACTATTTAAAAATTTAAGATACAGAATAATATACTATTTAAAAATTTAAGATACAAATTGTATATTTGTACAAAAATTGTAGTCAACTCCATAAAAACATACTATCATGTAGCATGTAGATTGGCATTTCTAATTAAATCCTATTTTACTGGCAAAAGAAAAAAGTAAATCCTATTTTGTTTCTTACTCTGGTCTAAACTCTAAAGCTCAACGTATTGTATTAATATAGTTTATTTATTAACAAGAAAGTAAGATCTCTGCAAGTGAAAGACTAATGTGACCATGGGTGATTGCAAAAATGAAAGCAGAAATGAAAACAACATTGAAATAATTAATCAGAATTTCGCACCTAGAAATTCACATTGGGAATCAACTTTTAAAACTTATTCTGGATCTGCTGTCAAAATCTAAGAAAATAATAGAGGTGTTATCCTTTGTTCGCAGTGTCCTAGCCTCATTCAACAAAACATTAGCAATCTTCCCTGCCAAATTCTCCTTCTCTGTCGGATATCTCTCCCTCGTCTGAGCACCCCAAAAGTTCAAAACTTTTCTTAAAATGACATTACGTAAAAGAGAAAATCGATATCCAAGAACCAACTAGCAAGAAACTGTATGTCATGTAACGATATAATACCTGCGCAACTAACTGAATTGCCTTCTTAATGCTAACAACATCCCAGAATCCATCGCTGCACAAATCAGATCCACATTTCAACTATCTCACAAAGAAAATGGCCAAAAACTAACAAATACAAACTACAAAATATGATAATATAGCCAAATACTGCTATTGAAGTATTTTCCATTATAGTCTGGTTCAGGAAGGTAGATAAAACAAATGGTTTTAATGACAAATACCACTGAGACTCCGGCAATATGTTTTAGAGTGCAAAGATTCAAACAATGACAAAGATCAATTGAATCACCTTGCCAGTAGTGCAAATGCCCCACTTGTTTGATTGATATGCACAACTTGACTTATGTAAGGCTCAGAACTAAATCGCGAATCTTCTTGTTTCACAAATTTGTCTCCAAGCATCCTAGCAAGGTTCAAACCTGAAACAAGTGGTCAATTATGCAATGATGTGCCTTGATTTTGTGATGCTGCTGAATCGTGACTGTAATGATTAGATAGAAAAATTTGCTCGTACCACATATACGTGTTTCCCCATCTTTTAATGGTTCTCCTATTCCTTCAATTCGGAGTCTTTCAGAATAACTAGTTACTTTATGGTCTTCAGTCATCTTAATCTGCTTACCTCCCATACTGTCACATTAAAATTCAATTTGATCATAAGTACAATACTGAAGGCATCATTATGACGGCCAATTTCATTTTAAATAAATGAGAAAAACAGAATACAGAATTTAGACAAAATAATAGAAAAATGGTGAGCAAATTCTGCAGGAGGTGATACACCAATATGACAGGTTGACAGTACAACAGGAACAGACTGCATTCACACTACAATGGTCCTTATGTAGGTGCATCAGTATAAAGTCATCGTTAGATGAATCGAAGACTAAAATGACAGCAATTAACGCAAGTAGCTTCTGACAGATGCTGTTAGCTTTCTTCATGAATTGCTGACAGCAACCAATCCTGTAGTTTTAACTTATGAATTACAATATTATCCAAGAATGGCAGACAATTTCTTAAATATGATTACAAATAGCCATGATCAAAGCCATAGTAATCAAAATTATTGCCAAGAGAACCCATATTACCCTGCTTGCCTAGCAGAGACTCCTTTCAAGACTCCACATGATGGACTCTGATCAAAATATGTCTTAATAACCCTACAGATCCCACTAGTTGGAACAATAAGAATAGAAACACATACTTCATAAGACAAGCTGAATCTCCAACATTTGCACATTGTGCAAAGAAATTTTCATCAGCATCAGCCCAAACCAGAAGCACTGTTGCAGTACAACCCTGCAAGTAAGTAACTATGATGATATGCAAACCATATACTTCAATTAAGGCAGAAAAAAGGATCCATACTTGACAATAAACCATTAAATTATAGTGAAAGCCAAAAGGATATGTAAAGTCAAAGGAAAAAAATTTGCAATAGCCTGCATAAGAAGATTATTATTCAACAAGAAAGAGTTGTAGCATATGTACAAATTAACTATTACTAAAAGGAAAAGGAGAAATACAGCATACGAAGGATGTTAAGATATATAAAAGCATTCCAGTGCACTATGAGACATTTCCCAATGAAAACAACAATGAAAATGCATATAGAAGGTAGAGAAAGAAAAGATGAAAAACCAAATGAAGGAAAAACCTCATAATAGTTATTCATGCACGCTTCTGTTTGAGAGAATGCATCTCTAAGAACATCTGAGGCATCACGTTGTGACAAAACCCCCTCTCTCTTTACAGAATCTGATAAAATGTTAGCAACCATCTCAGGCAGAATCCTGGACATAAAATTTTTTTAACTTCAGTAAAATAGTTATGTCAAAATCAACATTTCAGTTAAAAAGGGCAGAACTACTAGTTTTTTGTCAGAACAGAAACCTTAAATCTGAAACTCAAATCTTCAAGTTACAATAATAGAGCAATTCAGGCATTCAGTATGGTAACTGCCAATTTGGAAGAAGCACAAGACAACAGACAAGAACACACACACACACCATATATATATATAATATATATCAACCAAAGAGAACAAAATAAAACAGAATCTAAATGAGATGATGACAACATCCATTTTGTATTGCCTTAATACTCGATCTGTTTGTTCACTTGCATTTAAACACAAAAATGGAGAGAAAGCTAGTGAAAGAGGGCAGATAAAAACATAAGTTCTCTCGTGTCTATTACATTTATAAGTCTCCAATAATCCCTTTCAGCACTATGGTATTCCAAAAATGCTTCCTTGTTTGTTTTACTAAGTATTACACTTCCCTTTTCCTCTTCTAACCATTTCCCATGGCAAATACAGTGAAAAGTTCACACAGGTAATTTTCCAAATTTCCACTATTAACTAAATATTATACCACCATCTACACATATTGACCATCCATGATTGTATAAACACTTGACTGCCAATTGCTTAATAAAAAGAAAAGTATAAAACACAACCATGCAGGCATATTTAGGAAGATGATGGTTGGAAATGTCAGCTACCAAGCAGTCTAGCATGGAAGAGAAAGGTACTGGAAGGACCTAAACACCTAATCCAGATTCTCTCATGATATATCTAACTTTAATCCAGATATACACTGGGATACAAGTAAAAGATTTCAATGGGTGAAGTTTGCCTAGTCTGAAATCTTCTTTTATACTAACTATTATGTCATAACAGTAAAAGGCATTAACAATCAACTACAAGAATATAAAACAATTTTATATTAATAATCAAGCAAAAACTAAGTCATACCATCTATATGATCAGAAGAACATGAAAGACAAACTCTGACTTTAAAAAAACACAACAAATACAAAACCAAAGATAGGAAAATATGCATATTTGATACACTTTAGTAAGCATGATTAAGAATATATGAGAAAAAAAGGTTTATCTGATAAATATCAAAATATGAGAGGTGTAGGAGTCAACCACAAACCATGGCATGGAAACACACTAAAGATGGAATAGGAATACTAACTTGCTTGCAGATTTGGCCGCCTCAATACCACCATGTCCATCACAGATACCAAACACTCCAAACTGCAATGTCAACCCAAATATGAGATTTTTTGCTTCTGGTGAAGCAGAAACATATCAACTAAAATATCAATAACTTGAAAACCTTATCAATGCCAGGAAGAGGCCACTGATAATAGCAAACATCTTCCATAGGAAGCTTCTTTCCTCCTCGACGCAACGACATAGGGTCTGAAGCAATACCAACGCCAAAAGGGACCAGGCACTCATTTTGGGATGAAATATGAACCTGTCAAAGTAGAAAATAACAAGCAATCGGTAGAATTAGCTGCAAATCCAGTATTACCATGCATTACAAACTGAAATGGACATTATATTATCTTCAACGAACATATAAAAGAAATTACTTAATTACAAAAGAGTCCATCAGAAAACTAAAGCAGTTATGTAAACGATCATGTCTACAATCACGTTAACCATATAGGATTTTATCTTATGGACAACAGTCTATCAACTGTTAACTGATTTGCACCATTAATGTTTAGTTCATCAATTTACCTCAGCACTCTTGAAGAATAATTATGAAACATAAGCAAATGATAGTTCCCTGAGAATAAATAAATAATATTGGCAAATAAAAGAGCACAAAGGTTATGAATTTTTACAATGTCATAAATGGATGTTGCTTGTCACATATGACACAATTTCTTAAAAGGTATTCCATATTAGTAGGATGATTCTGACAGTCAGAATATAAAAAAAGACGAGTAAGATATCATTTCCAACTCATGATCTCAGATTATGACAATATTTCAGATTATGACAATCTCACCAAATTGCTGAAACAAGAAAATTTTACCAAAATGCAAATACTTCAATATCATGAAGAACTGAATAAAGAAAAACTCTTGTTCATGCAAAATACAGTACTTATGAATATAACAGAATTTGTCTAGAAATTTTGATATTTTCAGATCCAAATGAGACAGAATTACATGTAAATGAATAAGCAGATTGACTTACAGATATATTTGAGGTTGTGCCAAGCGTTATTGTGTCTCCACTTGCAAGTTCCATTGGGTGACCCCAACGCCTACTTCCAGATTCAGGATGATTAATTGGCCGAGAATTCAACAGCGTTCCATTGAGGCTACCCATGTCCGTCAACTCCCACTTCAATCTCTACAAGAGTTTGTACATTTGAAACAATTAGTGCACAATATATACATCATGCGACCAAATGCCAACTAATTCACACAACTTATAAGAAGTTTACATTTGAATTCCAATTTATCATTGCATGCTTTCCGGAAACCTCTGAATCCTTCAATACTAAATCACTTGGAGAAACTCTTCCAAGGGTCAGCGGTAGCCTCGCAGTGCTTGTTGACTGTACAGAACAATGAAGTCCACAAGAAGGACCCGAGACAACCTCAAGAGAGAGGCAACTTCCTGCACTTCTAACAGAAAGATATAATTACATGCTTTACACATTAGTCAAGTAGAAAGAGACCAATACATTAATCTCCTTATAGAAGTGAGAGAAAAAAGGAATTACTTTGATCACTGATAGCTTTCGGCACAAAATCTTGTGGCTTATCATTTTCCACACCAAATTTCAAGTTTTGACTTTGATTTTCTGGTCTACTGAATTTTTGCGCTTCAACTATGTGCTCTGTAAACAATGGATGCTTTAATGTCTGACCAACCAAAATATCCTCTGATGGATCAGTTATTACATCTAGAAGCACACTATCACCTGTACAAAGTAAATTATTAGCATTTGGATTTGCTTAAGCAGAAGACAGTTAAAGCAAAACTATAAAGAGAAATATAATAAAAGATGAAAGCATAAAGTTAATACCCTGAGCCAAATGGGGAGATGCAGAGGGAAGCCGCTGTTTGTGAACAAGTCCCTGAGTACGAGGTGAGCGCAGAAGAGCTTCATTTTGGTGACATGCTCCCTCTAAATCATAATTTCTTGTTAAATCATTGCTTTGATCTTGAGCTAGATCTACATCATTTGATACAAGAGGCCTCTCCAAGTCATCAACCTGGAGATCAATGTAAAGTGTCAAAATGTATAAGGGCCAAAAGAGTTTCAAACAGAAACAAATCCACAACAGTTTCTAAGTATTCCCCTTGACCAAATGGAAGGAATATACTAAATATACACAAAAGTTGTCACAAGTTTTGCATTTAGATAAACAAACACATGCAAAGAAAGATCCCAACTCTTGCTTCCATCACATGAATTTAAATCGAGTTTGCATTGATAGGAGAAAAGTTAAAGGAGGAGAAACAGAGAGAAATCATCTAAAGTGAAATTTAATTTCAATATAGTTGTTTGGATATATGATAGAAGAAATGAAGAGGAAGATGAGATAATTATATGATATTAGGATTGTTGTTCCATGTTTCATTTAGGAATAAGTGAACATATTTGGAAAATTAGTCTATCAGTTGGTTGGTTTCATTGACCTCTAAATTTCTTACTTACTTTTTCTGCAATCCAAATTTCTCACTTACTGAGGGATTCACAAAATGAGTTATAAGATAGATTGTAAATGATAATTAAGTTATCGTCTTTTCTCTTCTCTCCAAATTCTGCCATCCAAAGAAGAGAAATCAACAAAGGTCTTGATGACAAGTGTGGAAGGGCACTTATTAAAACTAATTTTAGAAGAAAGATTTTCACTCAGTGCATTTAAAGTAAAAAACATTCAACGTCATCTACTACAAGGGATGCATAAATTTATTTCTAAAAATGGCAGCTTAACATAGCGCCCTCAGGATAGGGCATTCATTAGCATCTATGCTTAGCAAATATGCATTACGCCATCAATCATTGTTGACTCACTTAGAATGGATGTCTAAAAACTCCAAGCAGATTTCCTACCACATTAAATTCACCAAAGTACATGCCATATCCAACAAAAATGATTGAAATTCACATTTCAAAACAGCTAGTAAAAACAGACAGACTACAGGTTACACATCATATCCAGCATTCATGATTCAAATTCACATTTTAAACAGTTTATATAAAATGGACAAGATGTTACGTGCCAACCAGCTTTTGATCAACTTGAAAATCAGTTACTCCTTTAGCATCAATATAAAATCTACCGGCACTATTGAAAAATACCTAAAAAATAATGAGATGCATCTCTCCAATTTCATGAATCAAGTAAAGCAGCACTGCATTTCCACAGCTTTCAGCAAACTAAAAGCGGAATCATTAATAAAATCTACCTATCATATCAAATTCGTTTTGTATTCATTCAAAACATTACTAATTGATTCATTGCAAACAAAGTAGCTAATATATGAATCAACCTAATAATCTTCAAGTAAATTATCTCGAAATCAAAATTAAAAAAAAAAAAAAAAAGCTCGTAACTACCAGAAATCAATCAAATGTGTACTAAAAAAATAAAACCTCAAAAAAAGAAAAATTCAGCTCCACCTAAGCTTAAAAGGTGATGATCCGCAATCGCAAATTTACAATCAAACCTAAATCAATGCTCGTGAAATAGATTTCTCTTATAATCCAATGACAACTTTGTCTCATAAAAAATAAAAATAAAAAAAAGGAAAGAGGAAAGATGATTTGAGGAAGGAAATGAAGGAGGAGGAGAAGGTTACCTTGATGGTGCGAGAGCGAGAGGAGAAGGAGAAGGAGAAGGAGAAGAAGCGCCATGGTTTGAAGGCGAAGAGGATGAGAATGATGATAAGGATCAACATGAGGAGAAGGAAGGTGAAAACGACAATGCTTTGTAGCATCGCCATTGTCGTCTCGCGCTCTCTCTCCCCTCAGAATTTCAGATTGGGCTCCCTCTTCGCGAGAACCTTGCTTTGAATTGGTCGCACCTCATTTTCCCCCAATTTTTTTTCTTCTTTTAATTAATTGTTGTTTCCTCAACCGTTCGACGTATATATTAAATTCTTTTTAACTCAACTTTTTAATCAGAAAAAAAAATTCCATAAAATTATTATAGTCTTGAAAAACAGTTGGTGTTGCGAGGATTTCATGGTGACTAATGGATTTATTATTAATTAATAAAAATATTATAATAACTTCTATCCAACTGAATCCGTAGAGAACATGAATTGCTTTGGTATTTTAAGACATTTGTCTTTTTTTTTTTTTAATTTTAATTTATCCTTAGCCTCCGAAATTTATCTATTTACATTACTTAATGAGAATATTACATATTATAGTAGTTCTTATATTACCAACAGTCACTTGTTAGTTGTAATACTTCTAACATCATAGTAAATTTGCCCTCCCATCAATAATTTCGTTAACTCCATTTGATCGTTCCGTCAATAATTTCATTAACTCCATCATTAAATATTTGTTGACGACATGTGTCTGTCTTGTGTAAGTTAACATGTCAAAAGATTTGATTGTTTAATTTTTCCCTTTTTTTTTTTTTTTTGACGGAAAGATGAAACGGTGGAATTAACGAAATTAATGATGTTTTATTTTTTATTTATTTTATTTCCTTTTTTTTCCCTCTTCCTCGTTGATCAAGGGCCTGTCGATTTTTGCAGAAGATTAGATTTGACATAGCCGACACCAAGACGGTGGCTGGAGCCAATCAATCCCTAAAGTCATCGATTCAAGAGGAGAGAAAAGGGATCAAGCTCCATGTTATTTGTGATGCCTAACATCTTTCTTTGCCAGATTGGTGACAATTTGGGCAGAATCTGGCCTAGTCGATGCAAAGTCATCAACAAAGCCCCTAATAGGCAATAAAGAGAATGAAGAGGAAAAGTGAAAAAAGAAAAAAGAAAGAAAATTAATATATTTTATCAACTATTATAATTTAAAATAAATAATTTTTTAAAAATTATATTTTAATGAGTTTTAATTTTAAAATATAATATAAAATTTTAATACATTTCATTAAATGTTATAAGTCAAAATAAATGAATTTCATAATTTTATTTTTTAAATAAGTTTTTATTTTTATTTTTAAATATAATATAGGTTTTTAATATAATTTAAAATAAATTATTTTGAAAAATTTAAGTCTTCCAATGATATTTAGATCATATTTGATGCATAAAAGGAGAGATAAAATAAGATAGATGATAATATCATGTATTATGTTTTATTTGTATTTAAATAAAGAGATATGATTACAATGAAAATTCATTATATTCTTAGTATAAAATGATTCAATCCTTTTAAAGTAAAAAAATTATTTTTAATTTATGAGATTAAATTTATATGTTCTATTATATCATTAAAAATTATATTAATAATTTAAATTATATAAATTTTAAAAATATATAATTGTAATAAATAAATAAATTATCTTATTTTAATCTTTATACATATCAAATATAAGATAATATAATAATATTTAATATAATTATATTTATAATATTATCTTATTTTATTCTATTATAATTTTACAAATCAAACAAATCCTTAACACCATGTACATTCCATATTCTGTATGTTTAAGTTTACGAAAACACTAAAGGACCAAAACATTATGGCCTTACAAATATTGAGATCAACAAATGACTACTGGGGACCAATATGATATTTCACTAAAAGTTTAGAAATAGTTTTGCTATTTACTTTTAAAATAAAATAAAAGACTACACAAAGTTACAAGATAGAACGTATGAAGGGTTTTTTTTTTATATATATATATGCATTCAATCCTCGTATTAAAACCATTCAAAACATTTTTTAGGAAAAGGTGAGATTTACATATTTTTCTCATCAAGTAAATTAAAATATATTGTTCACAAAAGTCCCCACACCTAAACAACCACCGAAAATTAAGTAACTAATCAGCTAGGTTATGCCAAACATTCACCTAATATATATAGGCTCAAGCTGAAATTTTGTCAATATGTTGTTTTTACATATACCAAAGTATACTATACTTATGTGGCCAGACAAATAAGTATATATTGTAACAACTTTGGAAAAGGTAGAAGTTTTGAAAAATGACAAAAAGGTGAATAATATTTAATTTAATGATATAATAATGGAGGGATTGATATGACAACTTTCCATTTTTTTCATTTTTCTAAGATCACAATCACAATGTTAAAAGCTGTGGGTATAGATTATAAAGAGGTTTTCATGTTGTCTTTTGTATCTGATAATATAATAACGACTGTTAGTTACTCACCATAATTTTGTAGTCTAATTCTTAATCTTTAAGTAAAATTTTAATGTTGAAGATTAATAATTTTCTCCTCTTCAAAGATTTTAAATATTTTTGTAGTATTTAAAATTATTAAAATTTAAATTTTAATCATTGTAGAGACATGTTGTACGACCATTTACGGTTTAAATATTTCTTTGTAATTGTTTATACCAAAAGATTATCTTTAAAATGGTTTGGTTGCCTGTGTAATAATGTTGCTTTGATGGTACAAGTTAAGTTTTTGCCTTTTGGCTAGCCTAGTTCCCTTTAATTCAATGGCATTTGGCAAGTGTTATTATTTTGCCTCTTTTTGGCATAAAAGTTAAAGGCTTGTGAAGTTTAAAATTCACAGTAGATGCTGTGAAGCTAAGCAATCTTTGCTTTGGAAAATCAATGATGTTGGGCGGAAAGTGAGAGAGAGAGAGAGAGATGGGCGTTAAACCAACGAATCACCTACCCCAAAAGGTGTAAAAAAAAAAAAAAAAAAAACCTTTTTTATAGAGTTAAAAAGAAAAAATATGAATAAAATGCTAATAATAAACATGATAACATAGAAGTAAAAACACCCTATTTGTACTCATAAAGGTAAAATGTTTACACTTTTAATATTTGCTGTTTATTGTTTATTGGAATTTAATCCGAATAGGTAATTTGATAGGAGATATGTAGGATTGTTGATAGATGTTTTTATCTTAGTGGGTTATCTTAGCGATTAGAAAAGAAAGAAAGAGGCTTAGAGGGGAAAACAATAATAAACAGAATGCTCTATTATTAATTTTAATAATTGATATTTAATTTTTGATAATTTTAAATATAAAAATTTATTTTCATTTGCACGTAGGAGTATTTTAACTTGTTACTTAGAACTTTTAACTCAAGCACTTGAGATGTAAGCAAAAAATACATAAAACATTTTAATAAAAAATTTACACACACATCGACATGTACACATATTAATACATACTACATAAATACAATAAAAACTTAAAAAATATGTTGATTTTTCTTTTTTTACAAAAAGAGATTCGAATTTTTTTTAAGCAAGATTCAAATCTATTTTTTTAAAAAATTTAAATATTTATAATTGAACTAAAAATTCAGATACCGTTTTTATGCATTAAAAAAGATACATATAAATAAAAGATTTGAATACCTGGTTCTTCTCCATGATGCCTTGGCAAACAAAAATCGAAGCACCAAATTTTTGCGTGACAGTAAAAGAATGTTTTGATTTGTTCACAAGATTATAGAGTAATTTCCTAGCATACCTCAATTATCTCGCTTTCCTTTTTCTTGTTTAAAGTATTGCCTGGCTTTTTATTTAACATAGCAAGTGAAAAACGAGGAAACCGTGGCATTAATTAACATGCCTTTCATAAAAAGGGTGATTTATCAAAGAGAAAACGGAAAGTTAAATATTCAAATTGCATTTGTACCATATTTAATTTATTTATTTATATGGAAATGATATTAATGAAGATGATTCATATTCCCTAATAGATATTATTTATGATAATTATTTTTTATATTTTACTATGAGTACGAGCAAATAATACCTTTTTTTAAGAGAGTAATTTGTATCTTTTAATGGTAAAACTTTTAAAATATGATATTTGTAGATATTTAATTTTATCCAAATCAATTCAGTTTTATTTGATTTTTACACTTGATTTGAATAATTTTAATTTAGATCAATTTAAACATTTTAATTAGATTGACTCATTTAGAGCTTTTTTAAGTCCAAATTAAACTTTAAAACCCAATTTTATTTTTATTGTTTTATTTTTGTTATTATTCTTATTTTTTGTTTATTGAATTAATTAAAAAATAACAAAATAACAAAAAAAAATGCAAGAAAACAAAGAATACAAAACGTGAAAAAGCGATCGGTAGCTTACTACCATAATAAGCCAAATTGCCCAATACTCTACTCCATTACCCTGCCAATATTGAATCGTTTTACAACCATTCGTAAATAAAAGAAAGGGAATGACTTCATCATAGAGAAGGCACTGGCCCTCCTAAAACACCTTTACCTAGCCTTGATTGCCATTCTTACAAACACCATAGCCACCCTCTTTTCCAAGCCCCAAGCACTAACACCAAGTTCCAAGAGCCATTTCCCACCTCTAAGCACCAATTCAATCGATACCACCATCTTCCTTACATCGTCCTGCACGCACCAGGCTAGCCCCTTCTTAACACCATCCTAGGGCTCGCACCAACCCCTACCTTCACTCGTACAAGTCACCGATCCTTCTAAAATACCTCAATTCCATAACAAAAAATCCTAGAGCACTCAGCCCAACACTTCCTTGCATGCACCATCTTCCCTATGGCTCTCTATATGGACCAACTTTCACAAACTAAAGTCTCAGCTGCACTAGTCCTTACGCACACCAAACACCAGTTCCACCGCCAAGAACTGGCCATTGAACCACTAGTACCAACTACGAGTACCCACTAGAAAAATAAAAAAATATCGCTTACCATTGTTGGCCAAAACATTCATCGATAAAAAAAAAAACAAAACACTATAGCATGCTCGCAAGCCTAAAATAAAAAAAAATACCAAAGACCCATAAAAAAAATCACCACCTTTTAAGGAGGAACTTCAGCATCGATGCAAAACAAAAAAGAAAATAAAACACAAAAAAGAGGCCAAAATGGCAACGAAGAAAGGTACTCATGACGGTGATTTTTTTTTTAAGATTGAGAATGGTGGAAAGAAAGACCAACTAGAGGCGAGTAATGTGCTCCGATCTAGGCCAAATTGGATGGTGAGATAACTTTTTTTGGCCATTTAAAGTTTCAGGTTTCAACCTTAAATCTAGGATTTTGGGAGTTGATTTTGGGAAATCTAAGCCTAGA